GGCACACCATCAACTCAACTAGAACATAAAGCACATCGAGAGAAACACCATTATCCAGTTGTTTAGTAGAGGTACTAGGCTGGAACCTAATGAGCCACTCATCGTCCTTCACCTGATCTGTAAAGAAAAACGATATATTTTCTTAAAAAATCACATTCTTTAATATTAGATATTTATTGAAATCTGAAGAGAAACACCGATATCCTTTTTGGAGGTGAAAATATTCCAAAAATACACATTTTAAGACTTTTGGATCCAACTTGGTAATATTGGGCTGCACATCTCGAACATAACAAGTACTACTAGATATCTGCGGCTACATCGGAAATAATGACTTGTTTAGAAAAAGAATATTGTAAGGAATATCACGTTCAAGTACTATAGATGGTAGATGATTAATTAAGAAACAGGTTGTGGAAACAGTATCGGCCTAGAATCGCTTAGGGACTTGTGTTTGGAACAAAAATATTTGAGTAGTTTCAAATAAATATTTGTTTTTTCTCTTAGTAGCGCTGTTTTGAGATGGTGTATGTAACACAATAAGATTGGTGAAGAATCTCTTGTTGAGTCATGTAATTGTGAAATAAGTATGATATATATTTTTTGACGTTATCACTTCGTAGCACATGCACAGAAATATTAAATTGGGATTTGATTTTCGCATGAAAAACACAAAACTGAGCAAATACTTCAGAATAATTTTTCATAAAGTATATATAAGTCATTTGAGAAAAATCATGTATAAAAATCACAAAATACTTAAATTCTGTTTTAGACATAATAGAACAAGGACCCCAAATATCATAATAAACTAATTCGAAAGCAACCTCACCTCGTTTATTAATTTTTAGACTTGACGAATTACGTTGATATTTTGTAAATTAACATAATTCACAATTTAATGAAAATACATCATGAAACTGAGAACATAGATTCTTCAACACAATGAGAGACAGATGTCCCAATTGACAATATACTTCAAATGGAAAGACGACATCATAGCAGGTATTTGATGGAGTCACCTAACTATAAAAAATATAGAGACTTTCTAATACATGTCATTTATCAAAAATCTGCTTCATCATAAGATGATTCTAAAAAAGACAATGATCGGAAAAGAATGAGATACAACAATTAAGATCTTTAGTAAGTTTACTCGTAGAAATCAAATTAAAACTAAGTTTAGATTGATTTAATACAGATGTCAGGGTAATGGAAGGAGTAGTTGTTGTAGACCCAGAACCTTCAATATTGTAGGTTGATCCATCAACAATAGCTACAAGAGAATGTGCTATCTGTGATCGAAAACTAAAGATAATCTTAAGGTTACCTTTCATGTAATATGTAGCACAAGAATCAATTACTCATTTATTTGAGGAAGAAATAAGCCATATTTTACTTGATTCAGCATGAGTAGTAACTAATGTGCATTCCTTCAAAAATTCTTAAAATAGAGAGAATCTTGCATGTTTATAAGCTAAAACCATAATAGTTTTCTCAGAAAACGAGGTAGCAGCAGCAGCAGCAGCAATATTAACAGTTTGTGTTCTCTAATTTCAATTCTGTAATTTTTTACACAGCCGTTTTGTATATCCTTGCTCATGGCTGTAGTGATAGAGAATATTGCTTAGATCATTAGTCCGATATCAATTGCTTTGTTTTCTCTCCTGTTATTATTTCTTCTTTCTCCTTTGGCAAGAAAAACATTGGTATGTTGATTGGGTGTAGTATTCTCTGTGTGCAACACCCTGCTGAAAGCTTCCTGAAGACAGGTGATCTCAAAACCGGATAAAATATGTTCAGATTCGGAAATCTCAAATTTAGATGGAAGACCAGCCAAGAAACTTTTTATGAGCATTTGTTCTCTCTGGATGTGTTGTACCTTGATGTTAGCATTGAACGGTAAAAATATATTAAGGTTCTTATATGTTTTCTTTGAACTCCATAAAGTAGACCGTGAGATATTTGGCTTTCTTCTCAGCACAGTAGAAGACCTTACAAACATCATGCATGTGGGACACATTTCCTTTGTCTGAATACAGAAGTTCTAGATAATCAATTAGTTTCTTAACAAATTCACAGTGATTAATTATACCAATTATTTCACTGTCAATTGAATTTCTAATATGCAGAAACAATTATGCATCATCTTTTAGCCAAACTTATTTAGTTCCATCAATGGAAGGGTTTTGAATCAAGTGATCGTTTTTATCAATACTGCGTAGATAAATCCTTATAGTCTTGCTCCACTCCAAATAATTAGTGTAATTCAATTTATGTTCAGTAATTTTTGA